GGTGACCACGTTTAAATTCTGAGACGGGAAGTGGAGGGTGAATAGGTCACGGCGGCCTTAAGTTTAGCTTTTCCTTTTGCTGTCTAGTCATCCTCATCAGTCTTCTGCTTCTTGGTGTCAACATCGTCATCCTGCAGAGAGTCATCAATCAGCCCTGTCTGTCACTGCAGGGCCGGCTGCAAGGCGAGAGCCGGTCCAGAACTCGGCAGTGTCAGAACCGGCCTGGGGAAAGACTACCTCACACCCCAAACCCCAAGCCTACCTCATCATCTTCAGCTACCCGCTTGCCCGTAGGGGCCTCAGCTTCCTCATCTTCATCTCCATCCTCTTCCTCACCTGGAGAAGGAATCAAGGGCCGCGTAAACCGCTGTCCTCGGCCTGCAGCCGCCGACCCCCCTGACCTCTCCTGTGACATGCCCCGCGGGCAGGCCAGAAAGCATCGTCTCCCCAGAGCTGTCCAGCAGCAGTCAAGTGCTGAGAGTGCCCGACTCCGCGGTGACCCCCACCTCCCTTCTGGCAGCCAGGGAAGACAAGACTACTACTCACCGTCGCCTTCTTCCTCCTCCTCCTCTTCCTCCCCACCTTCCTCCTCCTCTTCATCTACCTCATTTTCAGCCTCCTGCTCCCCATTCTCCTCATTCTGCCGACAGAGAACACACCTGACGTCAGCCAGCTCGAAGCGGGCCCGCACGTCCTGTACACCGTGCCCCCGAACTTGGGAGATGACACCACCCCCCGCATGAGCTGGGGCCGGCGCCCCGCCGGGGGACACTCACAGCATTCCCGTTGGCAGGTGCGTCTCTTCCATTCTCTGCCTCCTCCACAACTTCCTTCTTCTCCTTCAAGTCCTTCAGGAGGAAGAGCAAACCCGTTAGACGTGACGACAGTCGGCACAGGCGCCACCGGTGCTGGGGACCGGGGAGAGCCCACCATGACTGATGCTGGGGGTCAGCAGCATGGGTCACAGGCCGCGGGGCCTGGTGCATGGAAACGTCTCCATCTTCCCAGCTGCCATATGGCAGCGCGTCCAAACCCGCCAGGCCGGGCCGACAGGCTGCCTGTGGCCCTCACCTGCAGTCCCCGGCTAGAGGGAGCTCCACCCTCGGGAGGCGCCGAAGGGCCATAAATAAATAAGGGAGCGAGGGAGGAGCCTGCCGTGGCGGGGCGCTGCTGGGGTGGACGGGGAGTCCGGACGGGCACCGGGGGGCGCCGGGCCCGCT